TATCGGAATGTTGATGGACGTAGATGGAATAATAATGATAATAGTAAAAGAATAATAGGATAATCATATATATATATATATATATAATACAGAATAATAAATAAGCTAGACTTATACGCCATCCTCTGAGGCTATTTGCTAGTTCAGTTGACCGGTTACATTTCCTTTTTCTCATTTTACTCTTCGAAGGAGGCTTTAGCTTCACGTTCCCGCATCGTCTAAATTATATGCAGAGTTAAGGAAAGTTGGAAATTGTGATTATATTTGCGCATAAGAACTTTGTCAGCATAGATAGCTTAAAGAGATTAAAGGACTGATAATTAAGCTCTCCCACTATCAGATAAGTTTTGCCTCACGATGCCACTTATTTTCACTTAGTCTAATAAAATATTAACAAGTAACTTCTTCTATTGAAATAATAGACACATGCTTGTTTAATCGACAATCTCGTCATAGATGCGATTTGCAAGAGACTTGGCTTACCTTAAATGCTACATTTGCCCTGCTACCCCTTTGCACCCGTGGCTGTAATAAAGTGTTAAGGTTTCTACGATACTCACATCCCGGCACAAATCTCCCTGAGAGTGTTGATGAGAGACAATGAGGCAAGATAGAAACTGGTTGAATGAAATAACCTTTTCAGGAGGAAGACTAGAGGTGACATTCCATGGCATCCCAGGTCTCATTCATCTGATTATAAGAAAACTCAACTATCATTACAAAATCAATTTTGGCGACCCGTACTCTGTTTTTATTCAATAATTACTGCTAGCCTTGAAATCTACTCTTACCGAAGTTATATTTGCATAATTGTTGAGCTTATTTCCATTTCGAGTGAAAGTGTTGGGTGAAAAGATTCAAGAGTCGGTTCCACCAGAAGACGACGGCGGATTCCTCTTGACCAGCTGTCGATTTAATTTACTGGAAGATTCATGCTGACACTGTTTCCGAGGCAATCTCCTTCGATTCTGGTGAAAAGGTGCTAAGCTTTCGTCCGTCATATGACGGACATCATCAGAACGAGGTAACATCGTCACAGCAAAATTCAAGTATAAAGTGATCTGAGGCAAGATGTAGAGTATATATACCACTTTTTAGAGATT